ACCCTTGTAGTACTAGATTCGAATGTGTGCTGGTGCTGTTTTCACTCATATGACGACTTTCAAGGCTTTGTGGACCGCGAAAGACGGATCCGGTATTTCAGAGTGGGTGCAATGTTGGGTTTGACCAATCACACGCAAAGACGTAAACCTTTTCCTTAACCGATTATACGCTCCCGACATATAAGCTGTCTGAAAGAGGGGTGTTGCCCGAACATCTAGCGTCAGAACCAGAGAGTAACCAGTCTCGATTACCCGAAGATAAGAGATTCCTATTTCAGCCGTAACTGACTTAATAGTGATAATATTATATATGTGAATGCAAAATGGATGATCAGTGAAGACACCCGGTGTTGGCCTACATGAAACAGTTGCCCTTACCTTCCACGAAGAGGAAGTATCCCTTGGGGTTTTTCCTGAGTATCCGTATGGCCTTATCTGTCATTGCAGCTAAAGATGGCTCCTTGTTTGGATTCTGCTGCCTCTCAGCCTCAAACTGCATGTGGTCCTGGTTGAACAACCCTACAACAGCAATCACGTTACTATGATATTGCTGGAATATTGCTAAAAGTGACGTTTAACCACACACACCCATTCACCTCCTGACATCCTTTTTATGTACGACCACCCAAACCTGTAGCAGAACACCCACATCTTAACTCACAATGGCCATGAATATTAACTACGGTCATATGATCGGATATTGAGCATTATATATCAAAAGTTTCATTTCATGGGGGTCGGTTGACAGACTTGTGGTTAAAGCGTTCGCTCGTCACACCGAAGACCCGGGCTCGATTCCCCACATGGGTACAATGTGTGAAGCCCTTTTCTCGTGTCACCCGCCGTGATATTGCTGTAATATTGCTAAAAACGGCGTAAAACCTCAAACACTCACTGACTCATTCACTCATTCATTCAATCAATAAACCTAACCTATTTATTACTCATTTATGGCAAAAATGTACACCCGCCTGGATCGGTTGACCAGGTCAACATGAATACATTAATGTCAGTCGGCCAGTGGCCATCCTATGTCATGCTGACCCAGATAACTGTCATGTCCGTGCGCTTGTCTGTTTCATAATCGTAACCCACTGCATTCGTGTCCAACTCGTGTTATACCGGGACAAGCCGAATAGCAGAGTTTACGGAAAGGGGCGAGTGGTGACGAATGGCCGAATGATGCTTCTTGGAGGTTACGGAAAGGAGCGAGTGGTGACGAATGTTTCCGTGAAAGTTCATTCGGCTGGTTTCGGTTAGTCCAAGCGCATCAGCGGGCAAGTTCAAGGCTGGTTGTCGCGACACACAGAATATCAATCTGCTTGGAAGGTAACAGTCACATTAAATTGTGTGATCAACTAAAGAATATAACAGGTGTCGCCATTCAGCTAAAGATCAGTGTGAAATGTGATATACCCAGGTGTTTATTTGGCGTGTTTATGTTTACTTTAACACTGTTGCATGACCCGTCTGGTATAAACAAAACAAGTCATAATACTGACACGTTTCGACCATGCTAGCTGTACGATACATTGCACAGTCAACGACTTTTGCTGTGTTTTAAAGACGCCCTGACACAATGTGTTCAATAAGGCAGAATAAGTATCGGAAGGTGAAAATCTTGGGCGCAATGTGGGAAACCGGAGCCACTGACAGTTAGCTTTGCACGCAGGTCTCGTGCGGAATGTGCCCACGTGCAGTGCGTGCTGTACGATTCCCTACAACCGTGCTTCTGTCAGACGACAATTGCCGCTGTGCGGATTATCTCAGACATACAGAGCAACTTGTTACAGATTCCGAAATCTGTGGACGGTGGGGTAGCCCAGTAGTTAAAGCGTCCGCTCGTCACGCCGCATACCCGTGTTCGATTCCACATGGGTACACTGTTAAGCCCACGTCTGGTGTCCCACGCCGTGATATTGCTGGAATATTGCTAGAAGAGGCGTAAAACCATACTCACTCACTCACTCACTCACTCACTGAATACTGGCATCTGTATATAAATTCCGCCAATTCAACAGAAATGAATATTGTTTTGCATAATATTGTTCTATGAATAATCATCCGCGATTATGGCGGATATTATACAAAACTGCGACAAACCCACAACAAATTCGGAGCTCGACAATCAAATGTGTTCAAAACACCCGTATCGCTCAGCCATTTCTTTCCTTATTCCTGTAAGCGCGATCTCCCGTTATTCAATCAGTTTCCAAATGACGGGACAAGCTGTTATGACCGAATGGCCTTCATTCTTCAGCTCTCATTCGCCGTCAGTTATCAGCTTGTATATTTTGATTTCTTGATATATTTCAGTATAATATCCGCGTAAATTTGCAATAAGAGGTGATAAATACAGCCACGAGCATAACAATATATCACTTATGAACTATTATCTTAAATATTGCGCTTACATTTCACTTCATTGGGATATTGGCGCTACAACAAATCAGTATATTCAATATATCATCAAACATCGAAGGTAGATATCCTAAAGCGTTTATGACTTGAAATGGGTTTGAAATAAAGGGATTGTGTTTATGCATTTGTCTTTGTGCTATATACGCCGTGTCACAGGTAACACAACCTCATTATTCCGAGGGGCGGTGGGGTAGCCTAATGGTTAAAGCGTTGGCTCGTCACGCCGAAGACCCGGGTTCGAATCCCTACATGGGTACAATGTGTGAAGCCCATTTCTGGTGTCCCCCGCCGTGATGTTGCTGGAATATTGCTAAAAGCGGCGTAAAATCAAACTCAGTCAGTCAGTCAGTCATTAATCCGAACCCTCACATTTCTAATCCTGAATATTTCCTTCTAATGTCAGATCTCTTTTTCACAATATCGCCATCAATGATGACAGAATTGGTTCATGGGGGGAAATAATTAAATCTAAAAGCTTTAGACAGCTAAACTGGTTGACTGGTTGATAATGTGTGTATAGATGTGTAGTTAAACATGCTACTTGATTGTTGAATCCGTTAATCCTCACATTTGATCTATTGGTAGCACGTTTATGAGCATGACTTTTGATTGCGCGAATAAAGTTTTCAGTTGCAAGAACCAGCTTTGACAGTTCGAGACAAAAGGGTTAGTTTGTACTTATAATGGCTTTTGGGGACCCTAAAATGAGCTCGAAACAACCACTATTCGACACATCCAGTACGAGACATCAGCGTAGCAATAATGATAAATATAAGGAAATCGGCAAGGACCGAGAGATGAGTTTGACACAACCGAGAATTCGTCTCAACCGATTTCGAGACATAGGGGTTCGAATGTGCTTTAACTGGTCTTGTTTTAACAAATACTAACCTGTATTTGGACTTATTATCTTTATAGTTATGTATCGTTTTTATTGCCTATGCAAGGGGTGTGGGATCACATTTTAGGTTAATAAATGTCAGGGAACTTTGAAGAAGTTAATCTACACTCAACTGACATATTTTTCTTAAAACCATAAGTTTAGAAGAGGTTTCGTTTTTTTTTATGAACCAGCAATGTGCGAGTGCTTCTGTTATGTTTATTACTTTTGAAAATAAACAAAGAAACTGATCGTTTTTGTCTGAAGAATTTCTGGCCTTCAGGCGCCAATATGAAATCCTTCTGGAGGGGAACGAGTCGCTATTCAGATGTTCTGGAATATCATGAGTTGGTCATGAATGGTCGCAGAATAACACGAGGTGGTTACGAATGGTCCCGCTAACACGAATGGGCCACGAATGGCGTTATTCTGGAACCCGTCGCTCCACTTTCGTGGCCGTTTTGGGACTGGGTTGCGTCTCAGCGCAAATGGGCTTAGCTAAAATAATTGTCGTGGGACAACTTTTAACATGTCTGCACATACATTTGTACATATTTTAACCACACACGCTATCTAAAGCACTCTGGACTTAAATTCAGATACAGGACAAGACATATATATGATAATAAAGTATTACTGAAGCACGTCAGGCGCGGAATCTGATTGGTTTAGGGACGGTGGGGTAGCCTTTTGGTTAAAGCGTTCGCTGGTCACGCCGAAGACCCGGGTTCGATTCCTAACCTGGGTACAATGTGTGAAGCACATTCTGGTAGGCCGGAATGTTGCTGGAACATTACTAAAAGATACGTAAAACCAAACTGGCACACACACTGACTGGTTTGTGGTAATTTATAGGGGTGGGCGATAATACCGGTTAACCGGTATATTGCAATTCGAACTTCACAATACGATATATTACGGTACACTTTTCGCGAACCGGTTCACCCGATACGATCGGCAATTTCCGTAATGTAGTACAAAATACTACTAACATCCATTCGTGACCCACTCGTGTTATTCCGGGACAAGCCGTCTTGGAGGTTACGGAAAGGGGCGAGTGGTGACGAATGCTAACATTTGTGTTTCCTCTATATTATTATCCTTGAATAGTTTGGAGAATGTTTGTTAGTCATATAATTGCAGTTGCGTGACTTTAAACCATATAGATAAAAAGAAAATAGATTGGCACGGCACTCGTAGGGATAAACAAAACGCCACTGCATACGCTTTTTCTCCAGTTCCAAAGCGTTCTCCAAGTCCTCAATTCTGGAAACATTTACAATTGATCTCTTGTACAAACGCATCTGAGTTCTGACAATGGCCAGTGGCATTGTTTCAAAAGAAAGGAAGCAATGTGAACATTACACATTCACAATATATTGCAATACATATTGCAATACGCCAACACATGTCCCAATATATAGCAATACGAAAACAATTTCAATACCTAACCCTAGTAATTTAACACACAGCTTCCTTCGACAGAGGGTGTTGATGTATTGGGACAACTCCTCCAACAGGATACAGTCAGTGTGGAGGAGGGTCAGGGTCATTTGCAGCTGGCACAGGCTATGCAAGAGTCGTGATATTGACCGCGCGTGTTCACGTCGAACGACCACAGTTCGATTGGTATGTTTGCTTCTATGAATCAACTACAGGTTATTTTTTCTTTTGCGTTTAGATTTGCCATTTGATTATTCCTTTAGGGTCAATATACAGATGGTAATTTAAATTTGGGTTTGGGTGAGTATCTTTGCTATGGGTAATGGTAACATTACTTTAAAAAATAGGGGCTGTTGCGATACATTTTTCCATGTGTATATACACACATACCACACCCCATCACAACACAACATTATCACACAGATACTACATGACACCACAACACAACACAGACAAACCACCACACACCACAGACAAGCCACACCACACCGCACCACACACATACCACACCACATCACACACATACCACATCACATCACACACATACATCACACACATACCACACCCACCGCATCACACACATACCACACCACATCATACACATACCACAACACATCACACACATACCACAACACATCACACCACATCACACCGCATCACACACATACAAGAACACATCACACATACCACATCACACACATACCACACCACATCACACACATACCATACAACTTCACATACATAACACACAACATCACACTCATACCACACCCACCGCATCACACACATACCACACCACATCACACACATACCACAACACATCACACACATACCACAACACATCACACACATACCACATCACATCACACACATACACACACACATACCACACGCATCACACATACCACATCACACACATACCACAATACATCACACACATACCACAACACATCACACACATACCACAACACATCACACACATACCACATCACATCACACACATACCACAACACATCACACACATACCACAACACATCACACACATACCACAACACATCACACACATACCACAACACATCACACACATACCACAACACATCACACACATACCACAACACATCACACACATACCACAACACATCACACACATACCACAACACATCACACACATACCACAACACATCACACACATACCACAACATACCAGCACACACACAACACACACCATAATACACCACATCACACACATACCACAACACATCACACACATACCACAACACATCACACACATACCACCACAACACAGCACACACATACCACACCACATCACATAACATACCACAACACATCACACACACACATATCAAACACATCACACACATACCACACCACATCACACACATACCACACCACACACATCACACACATACCACAACACATCACACACATACCACAACACATCACACACATACCACAACACACACATACACAATAAATCACACACATACCACAACACATACCACAACAAATCACACACATACTACAACACACACATGCAACACCACACCGCATCACACACATACCACAATAAATCACACACATACCACACCGCATCACACACATACCACAATAAATCACACACATACCACACCGCATCACACACATACCACAATACATCACACACATACCACACCACATCACACACATACCACACCACATCACACACATACCACACCACATCACACACATACCACACCACATCACACACATGCCACACCAAATCACACACATACCACACCGCATCACACACATACCACACCGCATCACACACATACCACAATAAATCACACACATACCACAACACAACACACACATACCACAACACATCACACACATACCACAACACACAGACACCACTCCACAACACATGCACACTTACTCTATTATTTACAGACCGGTGCCATTTATCTGGTCTTCGTAAGAGGCGACTAACGGGATCATGTGGTCAGGCTCGCTTACTTGGTTGACCCATGTCATCGTATCCCAGTTACGTAGATCGATGAACATGTTGTTGATCACTGGATTGTCTGGTCCAGTCTCGATTATTTACAGACCGCCGCCATATAGCCGAAATATTGCTGAGTGCGGCGCAAACTAAAACTCAACTCACATGCACATGCTATACGGACCACATCACATCACACACGCCAGACCATACCACACAACACACAAAGCTGTGTTAAATCCGATCATCGGACTCATTACTTCTTCTGCCTTTTTAATCTATCGGATTTACTTCTGTTTTTTCAGTTCATCCCACAGAAGACTGAACTTTCAAAATGGGTATTGGAGGCTTATGGACCTACTGCAAAGACAACCTTCATTCTTGTGGACAGAGAGTTGACTTGGTCCAAGTTGCCACGCAACGTGGTGGAATTATTCTCCTGGTGACAATCACTGGATTGTCTGGTCCAAACTCGATTTGTTTACAAACATCGTACAGTTGAAAAACTGCTGAAACAAATATATACTCATAATATAGTCACAACTGTACAATTGACTCTTGACAATTGAGATTTCTTATGGATGTGGAAAGGGTTTTGTCGCTTCTATTGTCTTGTATGGACTAGTGCGTTTACAAACCCGCGTCATATTGCTGAATAAAGGGCAGTGCCAGGTAATTTTATGGATAATGAGGGGACGTTTACGCCGCGTTTAACAGTATTTCCGTAATAGTACGACATGTCCTCACTAACTCACTCACTCACTCTCCAACTCACTCACTCACCAACTCATCCATTCTGCACATTTGCCAAGAAGATGTGCAGGGGAACCTTCAACACTTTGAGCGATTTATCACCCATCAAAGAGATGTTAAAGTAGAGAAAGGTTACAAGAGAGAAAACTTCCTGTATATCTGAACAATATTTTACTAATCGCGGTTCCCATGTAAGGGTGGCAGTAGAAAAGGCTCCCTGTATTTGTGAACAATGTTTTACTAATCGTTGTGTATCGCTGTTTATCAGAACCCATTTTTCTCTTCAGCCAACAAGTCCTGGTTTGAGCGCTATGGAAGGAGAACAAGCTTTCTGTGCCACATCCTGCGTTACTTCCTGCTGCTCAACTGGAAGCACAATTTGCTCATCACTGAAAATGAGTTCTGTGCACTGTTCGTCGTGGTGTTTGGCTCCAAAGACGAGAGATGGCACCAGGGACTTCGTATAAAACCTTCCCCGCGATGTGTCGTTTGTTTCACAGAAAATCAATGTCATCATAGTCTAGATACAATACCTGTTACAAGAATAAATACTCATGGAAAAGAAATAAAATAATTATGTTAAAATTATTTATGAAAAATAATATTTAAAAATTTAAACGTCAAACTCTGTTTAATAAAGATATGTGGCCATTCTTCACCTCCTATGAACTTTGTTCAAGTAAACGCATGTTTAATTAGCGGTGTTATATTGGAAAACGCAGAAATGCGGGTTCATTTTTATTGCTTTAAAAGACATTGACGGGTTACATTCCTCGCAGGTTGAACTCAAGTTAATAAATCATACCTTACATTCTTGAGCATGAGCATGTGTCTGATACCAGGTGTTCTTGAAACAGTATTCTGCTCTACCGGTAACACGCATCTCATAATAGCTGTTTGTGCGAAAGGTCAGAATGTATATCACTGTGGAATGTCTCGAAGAATAGGTTAGAAGCCGGTAGGAATTGGATGTTTCATAATAGCTGTTTGTGCGAAAGGTCAGAATGTGTATCACTGTGGAATGTCTTGAAGAATAGTGTTAGAAGCTGGTAGGAATTGGATGTTTCATAATAGCTGTTTGTGCGAAAGGTCGGAATGTGTATCACTGTGGAATGTCTTGAAGAATAGTGTTAGAAGCTGGCAGGAATTGGATGTTTCATAATAGCTGTTTGTGCGAAAGGTCAGAATGTGTATCACTGTGGAATGTCTTGAAGAATAGTGTTAGAAGCTGGCAGGAATGGGATGTTTCATAATAGCTGTTTGTGCAAAAGGTCAGAATATGTATCACTGTGGAATGTCTTGAAGAATAGTGTTAGAAGCTGGCAGGAATGGGATGTTTCATAATAGCTGTTTGTGCGAAAGGTCAGAATGTGTATCACTGTGGTATGTCTTGAAGAATAGTGTTAGAAGCTGGTAGGAATTGGATGTTTCATAATAGCTGTTTGTGCGAAAGGTCAAAATGTGTATCACTCTTGAATGTCTTGAAGATTAGTGTTAGAAGCTGGTAGGAATTAGATGTTTCATAATAGCTGTTTGTGGGAAGGTCAGAATATGTATCACTGTTGAATGTCTTGAAGAATAGTGTTAGAAGCTGGCAGGAATTGGATGTTTCATAATAGCTGTTTGTGCGAAAGGTCAGAATATGTATCACTGTGGAATGTCTTGAAAGAGGCATGCACTGTTCTCGAAACAAAATAGTATAACAGCTGAGGGGAATTGGGTGTTTCATAACAACTGTTTGTGCGAATGGCCAGAATATTTATCGCTGTTGAATGTCTTGAAAGAGGCATTCATTGTTCATGCAAGAAGAATAGCATAACTGCCGACGGGAATTTGGTGTTTCCAAACAGCTGTCCACATACACATATCAACACAATCACGCGAGACTGAAAACCATATGTAGGCAACAGTTGGGCTCTGGGGTATAGTTTGTTATTATTCAAGATATGCGATCTGAAAAGTCAGATAAGTATATATGTATCAGATTTATTACCTGTACCTGTATAGGTTGAAGGATATATTAATATATGTTTGAAATGCGATCAACCAATTGGCCTTTCTGGGCCAAATTATCAGTAGTATGGAAACTACTTGGAATATGAGATGAAAAACATGTACAGCGTTGGGGGTACAGACTCCCGACTCCCAGTGTTTAACATATGGAATCTGTGGGGTTTGGTACTCTCCAAAACAAGTGATCTTCTCTAAGACTAATCCATACTAAATATAACATTTACTCCAAAATAGAAGCGACAAAACGCTTTCCACACCCAAAACAAATCTCTGCTAAAAGTAGAGTCCATTGTGCCATTCTGATTATATCCTGTGTATGTATTTGTTTCCGTAGGATTACAGCTGTGCGATCCATCCATGTGTGTTTGGCAGTTCTCTGCATATAAACCTTGGTGATGCTATACGACAAGTTTAAGAAAACTGTTCTTTGTCTCAAACATCTTGTGCTCTCATCAGTCGATCCCGTTGTCGTATATTAATCTTGACCAGTGAAGGCAAGACACATTCCACAACAATCTCAGCTTGTGCAACTGACCACAACAAAGGGACACTTTCTGTTATTTTTATAAATATTGGGTCATCGTTAATAATACATTGCAGTAGTGCTTTGTATAAACCACAGTCGTGAAAGTTTCAAACCTCTAATTTGAGTAACCCCCATGGAATCAATTTGTTCAGCCACATATAACCACTATGTGTTTCAGTGATTCAGGATGGTTCTTGGCAGTCTCATACTGTACCATACAAAATATAGCACTTGTCACCCAGCCTGGCACTTAGATAAATAGAGATTATTAACCGAGTGTGTTTCCGTATCATTAATATCATATATTAGGACTAAAAATTGTATTATGCGAGCCTTTGTTACATGATCACACAATCCACACCGACCAATCAGCGCCTTGGTCTGTCACGCACATCTCTCGTGATTACAGTCCATTTCAAATCATCCGCACATGCATTCTGACGACAACACAAAGTCGGGTCTATAAGCTGTTTCACATATCATAGCTCGTGAGTCGTTAATACATATTAAAAATGTGGTGTTAATAACACTGAGCGAAAAATAATCTGAATGGTTTGGTTATCAAATTGTCCATCGAAGGATCATTTTGCGTTGTTTGAACAGAAAAGGACACAAAACCCCGAAAAAGAAGCTTGATAGCAAATAAAGGTGATTCATGGGCCATGCCCATGATTTATGTTTGTGCCAACCTATGCTAAACCTAAAGAAAGGAAACTGAGATCCACAGCTGGGCACGTCCCACAATAGCATCTTAGTGGTATTGTAACAGGTATTGTGACTGTTTTTCCTAGCCAAAACTGTGATTTTTTATCATGTTTATCCGTGACTTTCTTTCCGATCACCGCCAATATACCAGCGCCATAGGCTGGGCCCGGTGAAACATGGCTTCACAAAATTTGCCTGCAAAATAACGAACTATTTGCAGACATCTTGGACAATAGTGCTATTGAAAACACCGCAATTTTCATTGATATTATTTGCCGATCGAGGCCAGAGTTCCTGTAAAATACAGTGTGTTCAGTACAGACTTTGAATATCCGAACATCGTTCCTAAACTAAATTCGTCGAACCAGTAGTTTGAAAAAAAGCTAAAGAAATCGAGGTTTATAGAATCGGGTGTGTTATATGTCATGCCAACAATAAGGGTGAAATAATAACCGCCAAGCTCGTGGTTCGCTGTGATAACCACCTCGAGGAAACCGAGAGGTGGTTATCGAAGCGAATCACGAGCTTAAGGTTGTTATTTCACATATACCACAAGGTCAAAAACATTCTTATTCTAGTTGTAATATTATTAACTGTAATGTGCAGATATTATAATAAAATAGAAAAATGAATGGTTTAGTATTTATTTATGGAAGATGTTTCCAATAAAAACATTGAGGTAGAGGCATAGGGCTGTCAACCCCGATCTGCCAAGGGAAGAGTTCTTCTCGAGGTGCGATACCGGGAATAAGGTGAGGCGAAGCCGAGCCTTGTTCCCGGTATGGAACCGAGAGTTGGTCAGATAACACACACGCACACGTTCAGGTGCAACGCAGCACAGCCAGGGGAGATGACCCCAGCTAGTCAAGCGCTGTTCCATCAGCCGTTTGTCATCCCCCGGTGTGAAGCGTGAAAATAGCACAATACTACATGATGGTTTCTTACTAAACAACTTTTACCGTGAGCAATAAAAAAACTTCCAATTTCAGATCCTGTTGGATACAGAGGTTTCAGGACCATGTGTCTTACTTATGTTTTCTGCACTTTTCCAAATTTCGAGTTATTTAATCATTTGTCGTTCTCATTCGAACACCAAACGGACTATAAGTGTGCGAAATACGTTCCTGCACCAGAATCTCGTGCAAATCGAGCTCTAAACAATCACGTGCTATGTAAAACCACGTGATTGAAACTGCCATTACAGCAAATGAATTGCGACAAGGAGATGTCTTGACTTCTCAGCGAGCTGCGACGACTCTGTTCCAGGCCAGAGTGGATTTTGAAGCAAACTGGTCTTCTGGTAAATATCGTGCCCTACATAGCATTTGTCTATATCTGTATTTGTACTCAGAAAAGCTATACTCATTACCGCCTATCTAGCGGTTCCTTTTTCGAAAATATTAGGATATTGGTAGTAATATTAAGCAAGTTAAATTCACAGATAATGAAGTAATGTAAATTAAGTTGAATTGCCTGTGAGGTGAGGTGAAATTGGGTTTAACGTCGTTCTTGAGAATATTTCGCTCATATGACGACGTGCATGCGTGTGTAAGTGTATGTGCGGCTGCTTGTACTAGCCCAGACTGAAGCTGGTTTTATAGTGCTAGCCCACTGAGATACTAGCCGCAGTGAAGCATGAATACCCCACTCAGACACATTATACTGACTCCGAGCCGACCAGTTTTTTATGAAAAGAAACCTACCCTAAACCCTAAACCTAATCCTAAACCCTACCCCTAAACCCTACCCCTAATCCTAAACCCTACCCCGTCGAAATAATCCTAATAGAATACATTTCAAGCATGGGTAACGGTTTAAAAAGATAACACTTTATATATAAAGTGGCCCCTCAACCCCCGCCTGCTTTTCACGTACAAAATTGCTGACCACGCCCTCCCCAGTCTTCATCTCTTCTTTCTCCCCTCCTAATTTGCGAATTTATCTGATTGTTCAATAGTACCATTGATTTTAATCAACTGTTGCAGGTGTACGGGCGTACAAGAGAGTAAATGAGAACCAATTAAGATGGTCAGCAGCATTCTCACCAGTAAGAAGCCAAAAATCGAGGAAGTACGATGCAAAACGGAACACAAGGCTTCAACTCCAGATGGTATGTTTTCTTTCTCCCAGTGGAAACATAATTTTAGGGAAAAATTTAAAACGTTCTCATCACTAACTCTTCTAATGAAATTTAACGTTATTGGTCAGGGGAAAATGGACTGCTCTCATAGGCCACAGGCGCCCACTGACCGAACTGTCATTCCATTGGTCAAGAGTTTGTACTAACCCCAAATGTATTGGTATTTGAGATTTTCATGAAAAATATGGTTGATACTGATAAATGCAATTTGTTGGTAAACGTTATGTTCACGTTCTGGGAATGTATCATCAAATTAATCATTGTTGTAACTCAAATTTGTAATTTATCTATGAGTATCCTGTATAAACATCTATTTCATTTTTCAGATGATTCAAGTGACCCTGAGGAGAATGGAAAAGGGGGAAGGAGGTCCTGCCGGTTCCAATTTATTAACGGCAGTGTGCAGATATTGTCAAAAAATACATCATTTTGAATGGTTCTGTATTTGTTTATTTATTGAAGATGTTTCCAACAAAAACATTGAGGTGGAGGCATAGGGTTGTCAGACCCGATCTGCCAAGGGAAAAGTTCTTCTCGAGGTGCGATACCGGGAATAAGGTGAGGCGAAGCCGAGCCTTGTTCCCGGTATCGCACCGAGAGTTGGTCAGATAACTGCCCTTGGGGGTTATATGGTAACCAACCTCTGGGGAAGGTTGGTTATCTGATAATTTTCACAAAAATTAATAACCCCAGATATTGACCGGATAATCAACCCACGTGGTATATAGGGTGTTCATTACCTGTGGTCCAGTGTAACTTTTCACACCGACAGCCCGCTTATAATCCGGAACAAACGATTCGATCCCATCTCGCCTTAAAAGGCAACTGTTTTAGTTGTTTCGAATTTCATATTTATGACTGCAACTAATTAATGTTGTTTGTGGACAACTGCGGCATAAACCAATTTCTGAACCAAATCAGGAACGTCTGATCTTCCCCTACAACGTCATCTTTAAGATTAATAGACCCATCCAGTCCCGGCCGATAAGCCCCGCCCACTTCGTGTTTGACGTTAGAGAGAACAACCACTGACTAAATCACAATGGCGTCACCGCCGGCGAAACGTAAGTGATTGTGAACGTTGCATTGATGATTTATGCTTGTGGTACTTTGGTATCCGACCTTTGTGAATGATATTTAAAGACGCAAGTTATAGGTATGTGATTTTTAATATATTTTAGTTGGCCGATTGCAATTGGCGAGTGAAAATGAGTTACATGCCCGATGAAAAATCGTCTCAGCCAGCTGCTGAGAGTAGGAAGCGTATTTTCTTTCGAATCAATTAATCTATCGGGCAATTCAACTCCGTCAAAGATATCAGCAGGGGAAGGATAACTGAATTTTGTTGTTTGGATTTTTTTCCCCAAAAATACCCATCATAATTTTATAAAAACCGTGAAAACTTCCACATGTTCATGTTGCAGATCGTTTCGGTATCTATAAATAGATTGTCAACGTTGCGCGTGGCGCCTTTACTTAGTTATCCGTTGGCGTTGTTCAAATTTAGTTAAATAATCTGAAAACTACTACTTCGTGTAATATATTTGTCTGTATATAATTAATGTAAAATCACAGCATAACTAATTTGATCTTATTTGGAAATCTGGAAAATACCACTGGCCTTGTTAACAGTATGTTTTCATGGATGTATCTGGACATACCCAGAAGCAAATATTCAGCAGCAATTCTCAGTAAAAATGTCCCTCTTCAAAATATGTACACCATCCTAAAATGACACTGAATATAAGGAAATCCATTAATTTTTTAAATGATCCTTTACATTTTATTTTTCTATTCAATGTATGTAGTTTGTTGTGGAATCCTAACTTACATACACACTTTTACTTCCACAATACTGGACTTGTACAGTATGTCACAGCACCGGAACACAAAGAAGATCCAAGATACAGTCTGCACCTTTAATACCCACGTGGTCAACGTATGGGTAGTTGCATACTAATCTCATACGTCACACGAGTGTCGTATCGCGTTGACCTGTGTCGTAACCACTTGACCTGAGATTCTAACGATTTGATTGTATAACCGATGACCTCTCAATTAGGTCACATACTGACGTAACTATTGTTTCATTCATAACAAACACGTGAATTCATTCATTCTACAACTTAAATGCATTGTGGGAATGTAAACATTGCGTACGTTGCCGTGTCGCTGTTTAATTGTGAGTCGAACTGAGATATTATATCCGTCGAAAAACATAAACGCAATGTTTCCACCAGTGATGTTAGCCGAATGACGCAACTGCAAACCAAGTAAAAGGGTGCTACGGAGTAGTTTACTGTAGGAGGCTGTACGAGGCGATGACAACTGACATGCATCCTGACGTCGGTTACCAAGGCAGTGACGTCATTACAGTGCGACGTCATGCAAATATTGTACTACAGTACAAAACTCTTCCGCAACCTCTTTATGAAACCTGTTTCGGTTTGAAACCAAAAAATAACAAAAATACGCTATTTTGTCAATTTAATGCATAAGAAGTGGGTAATAAATAAAATACCACGACGAGGTTCATTACACGTACACGATTATACGAAACTCGTGACCTCCCTATGTTATCTGACCTCGCTTTCGATTAGTCAGATACCATAGGAAGGACACTCGTTTCGTATAATTCGTATGTAATGAGACCTCGTGTAGTATTCTCTATTTATTACCCACGTGGTCAACGTATGGGTAGTTGCATACTAATCTCATACGTCACACGAGTGTCGTATCGCGTTGACCTGTGTCGTAACCACTTGACCTGAGATTCTAACGATTTGATTGTATAACCGATGACCTCTCAATTAGGTCACATACTGACGTAACTATTGTTTCATTCATAACAAACACGTGAATTCATTCATTCTACAACTTAAATGCATTGTGGGAATGTAAACATTGCGAACGTTGCCGTGTCGCTGTTTAATTGTGAGTCGAACTGAGACATTATATCCGTCGAAAAACATAAACGCAATGTTTCCACCAGTGATGTTAGCCGAATGAAGCAACTGCAAACCAAGTAAAGGGGTGCTACGGAGTAGTTTACTGTAGGAGGCTGTACGAGGCGATGACAACTGACATGCATCCTGACGTCGGTTACCAAGGCAGTGACGTCATTACAGTGTGACGTCATGCAAATATTTTTACTACAGTTCAAAACTCTTCCGCAACCTCTTTATGAAACCGGTTTCGGTTTGAAACCAAACAATAACAAAAATACGCTATTTTGTCAATTTAATGCATGTAAGACGTGGGTTATAAATAAAATACCACACTCGGTCTCATTACATACGAATTATACGAAACTCGTGACCTTCCTATGTTATCTGACCTCGCTTTCGCCTACACAACAATAGATGGCACTTGTATAGTAAAGGCCTGTGTGTTATGAATAATAATGAAAACAAACACATTTGCATCACATCATAATGACTAGTGTATGCATTAACTACAAACTCGGTCAATATATCAGTCATTATAAAAAGCTTTAGTTACAATTCAATAACGATATTTACCAAAGTTAGAATTATCCAGTATGGAGTTTGTTAACATGTGCCTGAGACATCAAACTAAGAACAGATGACTAAAGTTGTGTAAAATTGCAGTAAATAAATTCTTCGATTTTTAACCAATTTCATGTATTCCTTCACGATTTGCGATAACATATATTTTGAAGATATACTAGTACAATATATGCATAGGTTGAATGTTGGTTATTTTGTTTTTGTTTTGTTTTTTTTGTTGTTGTTTTTTGGGGGGGGATAATTCCCCAGGTCTATACTTTCTTTTGAACATCAGTTTAGATACTTTTATACTGGCTATTTCAGCTACCTGTACTGTGATGAAGTAAGCTTTGACCCGGACAACGTGCTCTCCGTCTTTTACTGCTGCAAGAAGTACAACGTTCAGTCTCTGTTGACCAAGTGCGTGGACTTCGTCAAGAACATGATGTCTGTCGACAACGTGTGTTCATTGTTCGAACAAGCTCACTTCTTTGACGAGAAGCAGTTGTACAAGAGTTGTCTCTCTTTCATTCACCGACAGGGGAGGAAAGTGTTGCAAACAACCGGATTCATTCAGCTCTCGCGCGCATGCGTTTTGGACGTCATTTCCTCCGACTGTTTGGCTTGTGAGGAAAGCTTTGTCTTCGAGGCTATGCTTCGCTGAAAATTCTTGGTGAACTGGTGTTCCAAATTCGGTTTGGCCTGTTCGACATGTCTATTATTCCTCAAAGGTTTCTACTCGCCAGATACTGACAGATGCTGAAAAGGTGATGCTTTTCCAGGCAATATCAGGCACAAAAGCTGACATGATGAAGTTTAATGGCAAAGAGAGAAACAAACCTGCTGGGAGGTATGGTTATCAGTAGGTCTGTCCCACCTTATTATATACACGGACTGCCTGTAGTTGTAGTCGGGTTTTACTTGTTTAGTTGGTTTTTATCGTCACCACTTCTTGTATATTTCGACATTTAGCATAAATACACTGGAGGCATTATCAGGGATTGCCAAAAGCAGATATTCGAGCCCATGTCTTCATTAGATGTTATTAAATGTTTTCCGATCTATGTCAATACGTATACTGTGTATCATGGAATGTTGATTTTGAATAAGAAATCTCCATCTGAACCTAAACGATGGCGCAGATGGGAAGTATTCAGATGTGAAAATACTGCTGAAATTGTTCTGGTATAAATGTGCATATTATTTCTGAACGTTTATGAAACTGCATCCTGTAATTTCTTTGATGGCCATTTTAGAAGTTGAGGTGATGAAGAATGATTATAATTTTATGGGTAGTCTATGTCGAAACGTAGCCTTTCACAGAATAAGAAGTTATTATTACCATTCTGCATCCAGTAATGTTAATTGTAATTAAATGTCTGTATATTAGGGCAGTGGTAGACTAACAACTAGTCTCTGAAATGAACATATTTTACTGAAAAAAGTTCATAGTAAAAAAATATATATATATAATGAAAAGGAGCCCTGAGACTTTCTTCATTTTCCTAAAGCTGAGGAGATCTAGACTTGCCACATTTTCTAGACTTGTGTGGGCTTTCTTGGATATATTTGCTTCAGGGTCTGTACGACAGACTAGGGCAGTGGTATCTTTAGAGAATAGACAGTATGTCTTTGTGTAATTTCCTTATCTTTTGGAAAGGACTTCACGCAAAACAAAATACTTTTACGAAAACTTCTTCAAATCGGTTTAAGCTGATTAAGATGCCATAACTTGTAAAACAGATCACATTCAGAGTTCTAGTATCACTGTAATAAGAAGTATCAGGTTCCAGTGGTTGGATGACGCCGTGTTGATGCAGGGTTTCTGAGGTCGCCCCGTTGGAGCCGAGAGCAGGGACCTTGCGCATTGTCTGTCTTCAGCATATGGTCCCACGCAGGAAGCGTACATCATGACATGCGCAATGTAGTTCTGTTCGTGGACCCCGTGGAAGAGATGGGACATGGGCCCCCGTGCATAAATACCAACATCTTCACCTCCGTGTGTTTCAATATTGTGCCGCACCGCTGCCTCAGAGGTATAATTCACATTGGCTGAAACGATAAAAACATCAGGAATTCCAAAGAATACATGAAGACTGAACAATACCAGATTTATTAAAAAGCACACAAATAAAATGATATTAAATAATCATGACTCGTAAACATTAGTGGAACATAATAGCTCTCGGAAATAGAAAAATCGCAAAACTAAGAAATGCAGAAACAGGCAACTGCAAGTTTTATGGTAAAGGTTTCGTAATAGCAAGGTGATGTTTATCGCGCCCTTTCAACCATTAAGCGTGAGGCCATCTAGTTTGAGGAAGCTTCTAAGTGAGTATTAATTAGAACAGAATGTTTTCGACAAAATTCATTGACAATTTTAGTTCCACTTCTGCATTACTCACTCGTTACATCATTCGTGAGGTTTCGCCGGCCTCCGTAGTTGACGTTTCGACCATTTCCGTAGATCAGCGTTGTGTATGTCAGGTTGTCATCGTCAAGAGACGTGTCCACCACACCTAGCCAAACATGGACATACTTGTTACTGAGGTTGTCACTTCTGTTTCAGGGCACACGTATATTAAAACGTCTTGGCGAAATAAATTTCAGTGACATAATACGTTTTTACGAGTGAATGTTGTTTTAACCAGGCAGCAACATTGTGGCCGTCCCATGGCTGCCTGTGTATCAACGAGTCTAGGTAATATGCAAAGCGGCTTAGAAAAAAACAGGTCATCTTGATACAAATCACCAGGCGAATCTCATTAAAGTCAGCGTCGACGACATATACCAGGGAAGGCTTGCTGTAGATTACATACTAGATATTCCAAATTCGGCATACAAAACGTATTCAGTTCTTGTTATACCGCTGAATGACCTCAGTTGTTTCGGGAGATGTATTTTGTCTGTGTCAAAATTGAGAAGGGAAATGTATCCGTCGTAAACGAGTACATATATTTATTTTGGTTTCGTTACAGTATATGCCAACCTGCGTTGGGCTGAGATGGCTGACTACCCGTGAAGGTCCGGGTTAGAATGAACTTTCAGTAACCCATGCTTGTCGTAAGAGGCGACTAACGGGATCGGGTGGTCAGACTCGCTGACTTGGTTGACACATGTCATCGGTTCCCAATTGCGCAGATCGATGCTCATGCTGTTGATCACTGGCTTGTCTGGTCCAGACTCGATTATTTACAGACATATAACTGGAATATTGCTGAGTGCGGCGTAACACTAAACTCACTCACTGACTCACTAAGATGGCTGACCGCTTCCCCGAGTATACACTTGGTCGCAAGTGGGGATTATGCACATGATGTGCCCATGATCTTGGCCATTCAAAAACAACAATCACATTTTTTTATTGTTAAATGCCAGGGAATATTGAAGAAGATATTTTACTTTTTTAAAACGAGTCGCTATTCGGATGTTCTGGAATATCATGAGTTGGTCATGAATGGTCGCGGAATAACACTGGTGGGCCACAGAAAGGCGTTATTCTGGAACAAAACCCCTTGCTCCCCTTTCCTGGCCATTTTTGGTACAAATGGGCTTAGCTTAAAGAATTGTCGTGGGACAACTTTCAACATGTCTGCACATATATCATTTCAACTGCAGACCCTCTTTAAAACACTCTGGACTTTGAGATAAAGTGTGACTTAACACAATGAACTACATCGTGGGTATAATGTAAACTACAAGACATATATAATATTATAAAACGTATTGCTGAAGAACGTCAGGCGCGGATTCTGATAGGGCTGGAGGCGGTGGGGTAGCTTAGTGGTTAAAGCGTCGTGACGCTGAAGACCCGGGTTTCGATTCTTCACATGGGTAAAATGTGTAAAGCCCATTTCCGGTGTCCCACGTCGTGATATTGCTGGAATTTTGCTAAAAGCGCACTCACTGACTTCATACATGAAAGACAGTTACCTTTTTGCGCAGCTATGCCACAGGAAGGGGCGACTTAGATGCTTTGTTTGTTTTTCTTTGTTATTTACAAGTCAAGTAAAAAAAAAAGAAACTTTAGAAAATATACTAATCATAGTATATTTCCTCTCCCCTCTTCGGCTTGAAGAGACAACATGGTGACAACTGGTCACTCATGGAGTCTGCCACAATATATGCAAAAGTCGAAACACGGAATGGCAAGAACGGCATTTGATTTGGCAAAGATGAAAAAGATGCTTGTTCTTGCTTAAACAATAAAACAATTTCAGGGCGCCCACGTATTTTAAGGACGCCAAGGCTAAAAGAAACCAAATAATCACTTTCATAAATTCTACCCCATTGTGACCCGGTTAACGCACCTACCAAGGATGTTGTTGCCTCTGGAAGGGTATCCGGCCATCATCATGGTGTGGGAGTGGTCAGCTGTGGTCACTATCAACGTGTCCCTGTGATTGGTCAGATTGTCAGCACGTGACACAGCTTCAGAAAATGCTACAGTGTCCGACAATGCCAGAGCGACTCTGTTTACATGATGCGCATGGTCGATGCGACCGCCTGAAAGATGGTTTGATTTTCGTTAAATTTTAAACTTTATTCCGGTTCTGTTATGTCTGGTGTTTTTTTCCATTAAGGCTTGCTGTCTGATGTGAACGATCAATGTATCTGAGGTAAAACAAACTGTTTATTGATGCTTAATAAGATCGCAGCAGTAGGGACGTTTGAAGTCGGTTGTAAGGCTTTCAAGGTTAGGTGAGGTGAGGTGAAATTGGGTTTAAAGTCGTGCTTGAGAATATTTCGCTCATATGACGACGTGCATGCGTGTGTATGTGTATGTGCAGCTGCTTGTACTAGCCCAGACTTAAGCTGATTTTATAGTGCTAGCCCACTGAGATGCCATGCCGCAGTGAAGCATGAATACCCCACTCAGACACATTATACTGACTCCGAGCCGACCAGTCCCTGTTGTACCCATTAATGCCAAGCGCCAGGCAGGGACCAACAATTACCATATTTTAACGTTTTTTTGGTATGACGCGGTCGGGGATCGAACCAGCGACCTTCCGCTCTCCGGGTGGACGCTCTAACCACTACACCACGGAGGCGGTCTCAAGGTTAGGTGAAGTGAAATGGGACTTAACGTCGTACTTAAGAATATTTAGCTCATATGACGGCTTTCAAGGCTTTGTGGATCTCGAAAGACGGATCCGGTCTTACAGAAGTGGGTGCAATGGTGGGTTTGACCAATCATCCACAAAGACGGCGTCGGCTTTGGCCAATCACCCACAAAACGTAAACTTTATCTAAAACCGTTAATAAATTACGTTCCCGACATGTAAGCTGTATGAAAGAGGGGTGTTGCCAGAACATCTAGCGTCAGAACCAGAGAGTTACCAGTCTCGATTACCGAAGATAAGAGATTCCTTCAGCCGTAACTGACTTAATAGTGATTAAATATATTTAAATCCCAATGGATGATCAATAAAGACACCCGGTGTTGGCCTCCATGAAACAGTTGCCCTTACCTTCCACGAAGAGGAAGTATCCCTTGGGGTTATTTCCTGAGTATCCGTATGGCCTTGTGTGTCAATACATCAAACAGCTGCCCTTACCTTCCACGAAGAGGAAGTATCCCTTGGGGGTTTTACTGAGTATCCGTATGGCCTTGTCTGTCACTACATGAAACAGTTGCCCTTACCTTCCACGAAGAGGAAGTGTCCCTTGGGGTTCTTCCTGAGTATTCGTATGGCCTTGTGTGTCAATACATGAAACAGTTGCCCTTACCTTCCACGAAGAGGAAGTATCCCTTGGGGGTTTTACTGAGTATCCGTATGGCCTTGTCTGTCACTACATGAAACAGCTGCCCTTACCTTCCACGAAGAGGAAGTATCCCTTGGGGGTTTTACTGAGTATCCGTATGGCCTTGTGTGTCAATACATCAAACAGCTGCCCTTACCTTCCACGAAGAGGAAGTATCCCTTGGGGTTGTTCCTGAGTATCCGTATGGCCTTGTCTGTCAATACATGAAACAGCTGCCCTTACCTTCCACGAAGAGGAAGTATCCCTTGGGGTTTTTCCTGAGTATTCGTATGGCCTTGTCTGTCATTACATGAAACAGCTGCCCTTACCTTCCACGAAGAGGAAGTATCCCTTGGGTTTTTTTCCTGAGTATCCGTATGGCCTTGTCTGTCAATACATGAAACAGCTGCCCTTACCTTCCACGAAGAGGAAGTATCCCTTGGGGTTTTTCCTAAGTATCCGTATGGCCTTGTCTGTCATGGCAGCTAAAGATGGCTCCTTGTTTGGATTCTGCTGCCTCTCAGCCTCAAACTGCATGTGGTCCTGGTTGAACAACCCTACAATGGCAACACCGTCACTACAGAATCAGGAGGCGGTGAGGTAGCTTTGTGGTTAAAACGTTTGCTCGTCACGCCGAAGACCCGGGTTCGATTCCCCACATGGGTACAATGTGTCAAGCCAATTTCTGGTGCCCTCCGCCGTGATATTGCTGGAATATTGCTATAAGCTAGTGATCAACAGCATGAGCATCGATCTATGTAATTGGGACACGATGGCATGTGTCATACCAAGTCAGCGAGCCTGATCACCAGTTCCTGTTGAGCATGGGTGGCTTAAGAACAACTCTAACCCGGATCTTCACGGGTACATCGCATTCAAGGTGGTTATAACACAAACACAGAGACAAGTCAGTTCTTTCCCCGCGGACTGTCCCCGGTTTTATACCATGCCACCGCTAAACATTGAAACCCCACCGGTGCGGCCAGTGCCTATCACATCCTTCTCATGCCGAGCGACAATCCGGGTATGATAGAGGGATCGAACCATATACCTTCCGTTCACCTGGAAGACGATCTGTCCACTAGACTAGACGAGGTGGTTCGATTCTTGATTACCACATCGCTTTTAGTGGTACATTTAACAAGTAGACATTTATGTAAAGATAAAATGATGTTTTTTCTGGTTAAATGCCCTTACTTCGAATAAACTGGCAATGTGGATTTTAGAAAGGACTTAGGTTTGAATCCCATCACAGGATGTAAGAAACCCTTCATTGGTACCCCTGTTATATAGCAGGAAACCAAGAGAAACGATTTTCTGACTTTCCCGTTCAACAAATTGTACTCTACCCAACAGGAAATCTGTCTCGAGCGGGTCGACGTTGTTGAAGTCGGTGAGGTTGGTGACGTATCGGTACTTCTGTTTATTTGCTGCCATTCGATTTTTCCACGCCTGAAGTTCAACATGTTTATATCTTACTGTTTACATAAAAGTCATTAAATTCCTGAATAAGCGCAGATAATAGCATAATCATGAAAAGTGGCCAATGGATTATTAAACAACAGATAAATTACAAACGATTCCTTAACATTGTATATATACATATAAAAGAACTGACTTCAATAGTTGTTACGTTAACGGAATTATCCCAACGGTCAAATGTGCCCTCATTGCTTTTATCTGTGTAGTATAAACACTGGTCTTTACATTTATGATCAGTACATAAACATGAATCCAGGCAAACAAACCAGTGATTGATATTATGAGCATGATAGTTCCACGCAGTCGAGCTACATGGGGTCAACCAAATCACGGACACCGGTTTGGTCAATGAGAGGTAAGAGGTCAACGGATCCTGACTTTGCTAAGGGACGCAACTCCTAACAGCACTGGGTTAAGAAAACATAAAATACACGCAAATGTGTCAACGTACGTCTATCAGATTCCTTTCATCCCTTCTTCCATGTTCTCTCTGTGCCTCGTTGTTGCCCTCGTCTGGGTCTAGGGCGGTGTTGGGGGTGAAGAACATCCGTCCTCCCCCTAGGAGTACCTGCAGCGACATTGCATACACACTCACCATTACATCGGATCTATTGGTGCTTGAATCATTATGTCTTGCATTTTTGTTATTTTTCAACAAAATGTTTTCATAAATTTATCTAAGCAAATTTATGGAAACATAATTTAAACTGCATATGAGCTACCCAGCAATATTGTACATAAGAATATTTAAGAATTATGCTTTAATAATATGGAAAGGAGAGGGGGGTCACTTACTTTGTACATGACATGCAGGGGGGTCACTTACTTTGTACATAAATTTTAAGGGGGGTGGGGGGTGGGGTGTCATTCACATTGTACATGCTTCTCCATAAAAATGTGATCATCCGCCCTAGCCATAAATTATGAAAGGTCCCTTAGCAATATGCCAACAATATCACGGTGGGGGATACCGGAAATGGGCTTCAGACATTGCAACCATGCGGGGAATCGAACCTGGGTCTTCGGCGTGACGACCGAACGTTTTAACCACTAGGCTACCCCACCGCCCCCTTAACAAAGACATATTCACCTGTATATCTGGATTGTCCTCAACCAGCTGTTCTGCTATGTCTTTACATCCGCCGGTCACCCCCACCATCTTTGAATCTCCCTCCCAGTTCCGGTTAGTCACGTGGGCGTAGCTGGCGGCAGGGGTGGCGTGTGTGATGCGTGTTGTCGTGATGACGCCGGCAGATTTCCCTAAGAAACGTAGATTTGTTGGTTTATTTTCTGTTTAATGTCGTACTTAGCAATATCCCAGCTATATGAATGGCGCCGGTATGTAAATAATCGAGTCTGGACCAGACACTTTAGTGATCGACATTATGAGCATCGATCTGCATGGCTCAAGAAAGTCAGCGAGTCTCTTCGTAGCCTCTTACAACAAGCATGGGTTGTTGAAGACCAAGACAAGCCCAGATCTTCACGGGTCAGAAACGTGTATGATTCTCACTTATCACAACGATTAATTAGGAAGTTTTGAAAAATCAAATTTTATTCGGTTATACAAAGTAAATAAGGTTTCTCTTGGCGGAAAAGCCAGATATAAGGCGCGCTTGTAAACCTGAGTAGTTGCGGAAACCGCACGTAAAATCTCAAAATAATCATCATCATCGGGGTAGTTCAATCTCTCCTGTGGTGTCAACGGAACATCTGGTCTGTTTTTCTTTTACTTTAATATCAGTATGCATTATGACCATGATCATTTTCCGTTGCCAGGCGGGGCATACTCGAATGTTGTCATAGTGGCAACGGCTCTGAACTGCAAGTATGAGTGGATTAGGGTATATGTACAGTGACTCATTCAACATCCGGGTCATAATGGCTGCTGAGAGTGAAATAGCGACGACCGGTAAAAACAAACGTGAGTTTTGTGCCAATGTGATTTTGAAATCGATACGAAACTGATTGATTATGTGATTTTATATGTATGTTATGCCATCTATGAATGTTAATAAATGATATCAAGGATGCATTGTTATATTTTTTATTACTGTGAATGTTTTTACATACGAAGACGATAACCAGATCTACAATTTCTGATATGCATGCAACAGTATGGCGATCATGACATTTAGTAAACATTGATATTTTCACACAAATACATTAATCCGACATTCTCGGTAATCCGACATATTTCTCTGCAACCACAAGTGTCGGATTAACGAGAGTTGGTTTCCGTTTGTTGCGCTGGTGCCTCGACGAGTACCACAGGAGAAGCCACAATGTGTTCTTGCTCTATATCTAAATTAGCAGGGTTTGTCAGAGAATGGTCCTATGCCCTTGTAAATATTTATGAGACAGATAGTTAGATATACAAATATATAGATACGTACGTACGTACGTACGCACACACACACACACACACAGACACACACACTCACACTCACACACATTATACATGACCTACGCCACTGAGGCAATATTAATAAACAAAATGAACGCGGTCGAGCAAACCCACGGTTGTTTCCATCTGATCCCCATTGTCATAGTATAGTACTGCAACAGCTCAGTGAGTAATGCTGCTTTAATATAAAACCTATAAATTACTGTTTAACAATTCGGTCGTCATACATGCATTATGCTCAACCTTGTAGTAATCTGTACTTACCCTGTTGGAGCGAAAACCTGAGTATAGACAGAACCTCGTTTCCTTCGACTGACTCGCACTTGTTGTATTCAGCATTACCGTTAACGCCGAGAGTGTTTGAGTTGGCCTTGACCCCAGTCAGGAATGCCGTTCCCGTCGCTGCAGAGTCGGGAGTTTGTTTATCGACGCTGTACGTCTGCAACAGACAATGGACATTAGAGGTCAAGTGGAATCTACCAAACTGGACAGAGTGGCGGCATGTGACTTTGATGAGCACTCTACATACACTATACATGTTTGTATTATTTTGCATATATACTACACAAATTTTGATAGAGAAATTTTGATTAATCAGCAACACCATTCAATATACGCTTTGGTTTTGTGTGTCACGGAAAGATGACAATTCATATCCCTGAGAAACAACCTAGAATGAGACGAAATTAATAATATTTTGTCAAACAATTAAGTCGTCTGCTTGCCGACTTAAAGATGAAGTGTTGTTTCCTATTAAGACATCATTATATTCACTCCAGTAACCGTAGAAATTGTAGACAGAAGTGCAATGATGAACCGACTCATTTTTCACACAGTATAAAAATATGATATGGTAGTCTGGACCAGACAATCCAGTGATCAACAGCATGAGCATCGATCTGCGCAATTGGGATACGCATCTAAAAGGTTATGTGAGTCAACAGACCTTGCAACGTCGTATGGAGTTGAAAAAGAGTAAGTGGGACTTTTTTTGGCACATTTATCGAATGATGCTACCAAGTCTGATTAGTTTATCGTGTCGGTAGCAATGTCCAATATATAGTATTAATTTCAACTAGACTCCCGTCGATCCTATAGTTAATTCGTGATTGCGTTAAATGATGAATGACTGCTTTTGCTTTTTCTTGAGTTTCCACGTTGATTGACAATTTCAATGTCAGCAGGGACAAGTTCTTTTCTTCATCTATCACGGAGATAAAACCTTTATCCCAGTTATACATGTCTAAAGTTGTTCGGTATATGATAAACGGATGTATTCAGGAAAGTGGAGAGACATGGGAACAACATGGTTATAAAACCAGTACTGAAATATTCACCAAACGTCGCTTTTCTTCCTAGTTACTTCACGAAAATAGTTATTTTATAAATCAATCAACAAACCTTTGCCAACGCAACATGCGGAAACTTGTCAAAACTGAGCGAATTTTCTTCTCCTGATTGACCTTTGACCTGCCCAGCAAAAATCCGACTGGCTGTGACTGTAGGGATCCCCATACCGTCGCCCAAGAAGAGAATGACGTTGTGAGCGACCCCTACGGTGGACTCCATATTTAGTGCTGCGTGGAGTTCGTCAAGAGCACTTTTGGTCCAATACTCTGGATCTGAAAAATTGGAAGAAACACATTTCTTGCACAACAGCTAATGATGCTGTCATTGTCAGTACAACATCACCAGACACACGACAACATTCATGACGTCGTGCATGTTTTAAATTTGTAGAAAAATTAAATAAAATTATTATGCGTCTATAAATACATAAACTGCAAGTGACCGGTTGCATTCGGTCAACCTAACGCCCCAAAATAACAATGTTCTTCCAAAAGAAGGGGAAACCGTTGGCTCAGTCGCCAAAGGTACCGCTATTGGTTGTGCCGAGTAACGCCCCTTGTTCATACCAGAACCCTGTCATCGTGTGTTCTAATCACGGATCATAATGATGATTCAATGGTTTGTAAAAACCACATCATGGGTTTTACCTAAATGGTAAACATCTATCACTGCATGATTTCACATAGAAATCACATAGAAAGGCAAATAACACAAACGTTAAGCAAAACGCCAACGATTTGGTGACAAGACTGCCCACTCGTCGAATGCATCTGTTATTCAGGTACATGTATTTTATTATCGTGAGAGCTAGATATAGTAGGTGAACACAGGCCCCCGTCAGTTCTCACAACCTCTTACTGACAACTTCTTATACCAATGGCCTATAAACACTCTCTTCATGGTGTGCATTCTCCAAGTGACGTCGTCGTTAGGCTGATTAGATTTATTGATCGAACCTTGAATAGGATCACCAGTGAATACAATTAACTAGGTTGGGATAGTTTATGTGCATTCTGACATGAGTCAGGGGAATTTAATGTTTAAACATATTCATACTTAAGAATTAAAAAATGATGTTGACGATTGTGCCTCAGTTGTTTAACTTGTTATTTTAAACCTTTTGAGGTTTGTCATACTTTAGATAGAAAAGGTATTGTGACATTATGTGAAACAAAACATTCGTGCTTCACACACAATTGTGTGTTATGGCAATAGAAATATCTGTTTTGTTTCGCTTTCTACTGGATGTGCATAGATGTGTGTTGGGGATAGCTTAGTGGTTAAAGCGTTCCCTCGTTTCGCCGAAGTCCTGGGTTCTATTCCAATGATATTGGCGTAATATTGCTAAAAGTGGCGTATAACCGCACTCACTCATTAACCTCCTGACAGCCTTTCCATGTACTACTATCCAAACCTGTAGCAGAACACTTACACCTTAACTCACAAAGTCCATGATCAACTTTAGTCATGTTTGAGCATTATATATCCAATGTTTCATTTCATGCGTGGTATTCCAGGTACTGCCCTTGATCTACGCCATTTAAAGTTGAATCTGGTGAAGCTCATTTGACTCGGTTTACACAAATGTAAGAACCGAGAGTGTATTCATTAATATTCATGTTAATAATGTATTACGTTGACAAATCACTCTTCACGTATATTTTATCAAATTTACCAAATTAATGGACATCCTGTCACTGGTTCCTTGAAACATCTTTCAGAGATTGGTTGGGGATCCTAGCACCTTGTCGTAAGAGTGAACTTAACGGATCGGGTGGTCAGGCTCGATGACCTGTGTGTCAGTGTCCTAGCAGGATGCTTCGGTGATCATAATATCAACCGCTGGTTTTGAATTCACAAGGCCCTTTCGAAAGTGGTCAAATGTGACACATGTTATACTTGTTGGTTGCTTGGTTGTTTAACGCCACACTCAGCAATATTCCAGCTATATGACGGCGGTCTGTAAATAATCGAGTCTGGACCAGACAATCCAGTGATCAACATCATGAGCAACGATCTACGCAATTGGGATACGATGACATGTGTCAACCAAGTTACCGAACCTGACCACCCGATCCCGTTAGTCGCCTCATACGACAAGCATAGGTTACTGAAGATCAATATTGTAACCCGGATGTTCAGGGGTTTGTTATGTACGATATATGATTGCTTGCTTGCTACTTGCTCTCTCTCTCCGGGCGGACGCTCTAACCACTACACCACGGAGGCGGTCCTATATCTCTCCCTCTCACTAAAGAACAGAGGGGTACACAGAGTACGTGATCTTGACTATCAGCTGTTAGACTTTTTGTGGAAGCCACGGTGGCTAAGTGGGTCAGATCGCTATCTTTGTGCGCTGGTGATTAGGTGCGTGACTCTGAGAATGTCGGTTCGAATCATGATAGGACTCAACCCGAAAAGTTAAAATTGAATCAGTGTTACACAAAAAGAAATCACAGAAAACAAAAAACAACCAGACAGCCTGACCCACCTTTGTCGTGTGTGTCCTTCCTGAAAGTCTGGGAATCGGGGAGGAGGACATATTGATGGGAAGGCCAGACCGACGTCACCAGGAGACACGCCGAGAGAAGTCCCTCCATAGCTGCACAAGGATTGAGGAGGAGCAGTGCAGACAACGTACCTCAGATATGGGTATACCCTGTCTGTATCCACCCGTATCTTGGCAGCTAATGTATGTGAGCAGTTTATTTATTTAACCTGTTTAAACAATTAGAGATTGCACTTCTTCACTGCGTTACTTGAAACACCTGCCATGGTGTTACCGTGTAAATTTTGTAATGTCTATAATCAAGGGAGGTAAGTTTATATCATTACTCTGACGAGTTCGGTGCTGTGGTACTTCAGTCAGTTCAGGGGCGGCGGGGTAGCCGAGTGGTTACAGCGTTCGTTCATCACGCCGAATACCCGGGTTCGATTCCCCACATGGGTACAACGTGTGAAGCCCATTTCTGGTGTCCTCAGCTGCGATATTGCTTGAATATTGCTAAAAGTGGCGTAAAACTGAACTCACTCACTCAGTTCAATTTAGTGAGTGCGCTTAGTTAATTCCATTGACACCACCAGAAATGGGCTTCACACATTGTACCCATGCCATGTGGGGAATCGAACCCAGGTCTTCGTCGTGACGAGCGAACGCTAACCACTTGGCTACCCAAGATCAATTAAGGCCACACGCAGGAATTCTCTTTCTCAAAAATTGAATTGAGTTGTGTTGAATTGAGATGAGTGTCAAATGACTGTCGCTAACATGTTTTATGTTGAATGCTCCAGTAAAGGCTGCAAAATTATTTGTGTAGACATCCGTAGGACATTTCCAGGACTTGTGACGATCTGTGTCGTTATGCTTGTCGTAAGAGGTTCCATTCCCCACATAGGCACAGTGTGTGAAACCGCTGTGATATTGCCAGAATATTGCTAAAAGCGGCGTAAAACCTCACTCACTCACTCATTCATTCAATAAACCTAACCTATTATCAAGCACGCATTCATTCATCCATTCATTCTTTCATTCTATAACCTAACCCATCCATTCATTTATTCATTCATTCAATAAACCTAACCTATTTATTACTCATTAGTGGCAAAAATGTCCACCCGCCTGGGTCGGTTGACCATGTCAACATTAATACATACATTCATGCTGACCCAGATAACGGTCGCGTTCGTGCGCTTGTCCTTTTCACATTCGTGTCCCACTGGTCTTTTTCCGGGACAAGCCAAATGATGCAACTTGGAGGTTACGGAAATGGGCGAGAGGTGACGAATGTTTCCGTGAAAGATCATCCGGCTAGTTTCGGTTAGTCCAAGCGCATCAACGGGCAAGTTCAAGGCTGATTGTCGCGACACCCAGAATACCAATCTGTTTCGAAGGTAACAGTCACATTAAATTATGTCATAATAACTAAAGAACATAACAGGTGGCGGCATTCAGCTTAAGATCAGTGTGAAATGCGATATACCCAGGTGTTGCATGAGCCGTCTGGTATTAACTAAACAAGTCATAATATTGACATTATGGTGTGTTAGCTGTATGATACATTGCAGAGTCATTGACTTTAGCCGTGATTTGAAGTCGCCCTGGCACCGAGTGTTCAAAAAGGCAGAATAAGTATCGGAAGGTGAAAATCTGAGGTACTATGTTGGAAACTGGAGCCAGTGACAGTTAGCTTTGCACGCAGGTCTCGTGCGGAATATGCCCGCGTGCAGCACGTGCTGTACGGTCCCCCGCAACCGTGCTTCTGTCAGACGACAATTGCCGCTGTGCGGATTATCTCAGCTAATCACGTAATGTTCGGTATCACGTGAGCACTTACTTTAGATTAGCTGATAGAATCCCAGTCAAACATCAACTTACAGGTAAGCCTCGTTTAACAATTATCTCAGATACATGCATGACAACTTGTTACACATTCTGAATTCGGGGGTTGGTTGGGAAGCCTTGTGGTTAAAGCGTCCGCTCGTCACAGCTAAGACCTGGGTTCGATTCCCCACATGGGTACAATGTGAAGCTCACTCACTGGCATCTGTATGAACATTCCGCCAAATCAAAATGAAATGAACAGATTTTCACATAAGATTGTTCCATAATTACATACTATTGTTCTATAATTAATCATCCGAAGGTAATAAAAAATGGCTGACATGTCACAAAACAGCGACAAACCCACAACAAATTCGGAGCGCAGCAATCAGATGTGTTCAAAACACCCGAAGCCATTGTTAGACCTTATTCAGGCAAGCGAGATCTTCCGTTATTCAATCAGTTCCAAATGACGGGACAAGCTGTTATGACAGGAAAAGCCTTCATTCGACAGCTTTCCTTCGCCGCTTTTAAGTTGAGAATGCTGATTTCGTGTTTTTGTCGTATTGTCACCGCGGCATTAGGACCTGTGGGAAGATGACGTATGTCTAGGTTGTCTCGAGATCACTCGACGATTGTAATGAGACGGAACACCATGAAATGTACATGTGTCACATGTGACAATATTATACTCTTCAGCAAAATAAATATAGAAAAATTGGAAATATCAAAGTACTGCCATAGCCCTCAAAGTCTCCAGATCTAATCTCTCTTATCTCGTAGTACATTTAAATAGGCGATTACAATAATATTATAAACTGACGTAAAAAAGAAAGTACACACCTGGTGCTTTGGGAGTATTTTCCAAAGGACATGATATCCCATGCCCTATACTCTAAGGGATATCTGGGGTGTTTTGTCAAAAACATACACAACAATGTTTGTTTCAAGATTGGGAATTAAAATAGTGCACTTTTCAAAATAGTTATGTTTATGTTGTTTCTTGGACCATAATCCCCCACATACTGGGTGTGCACTTTCTTTTGTACGTCAAATAATTTCAGCTGTAATAAGTCCAAAAATATATACATGTTGATGACTTTAAACTGTATCTGAAACTGAGGAATTCGTCGAGAGTCCTGATTTGGCGAACACGGTGTCTTCCAGTTGTCTGAACTTGTATGTAACCTTGATGCCATAAAATAAATAATTTGAAGAACCTCAGAAACTTCATATAGAATATCTTCAGTGAAGCACGGCGTTTAAGTTGATTAGTTATATATTAATATATTTATAATGGCGTCACTTAACAACGTCGAAAAACACACTAAAAATCCAAAGCAAGCCCGCAAGATCGTCAAAGACATGATAGCCGTTATGTAAACAGTGCACGAGTGCTTATTTGACTCTCTCACCGTTCGGGTACCCGTGAAGGTCTGGGTTAGAATATTGATCTTCAGTAGCCTGGCAACTGACGAGATCAGGTGGGCAGACTCGGTGGACACATGTCATCGGTTACCAATTGCGCAGATCGATGCACATGCTGTTGATCACTGGAGCGACTGGTCCAGACTCAATTATTTACAGACCGCCGCCATATAGCTGGAATATTGCTGAGTGCGGCGTAAAACTAAACTCACTAACATAACATTACTGACATTACTGAAGATCAATTCTGTAGGGATCTTCACGGGTAAGGGGGGCGAGTGATTTGTGTGTTGTGTACAATATCCATTGAAAACGCTGAAGAAAACTGTCCTTTTTGTAATGTTTTGTCGACCTCGACGTCAAGACGAGACAGAAACACATGCAGTTTTACCATCCTGCTGTGCATGCCCACCACTGATGGTAGCTGAAACATACAACTTTGTACAAATTACCATTTTTCTAGGTGAATATTTGGTTTTATATCAGAGTTGATTCGCAATAAGAGTTGATAATGCAGCCACGAGCATGACAATATACGACTGATCAATTATTATCTTAGATATTGCGCTTACATTTCGCTCCATTGGGATATTGGTGCCCTAACAATCAGTCTATTTAATAAATCACCATATATCGAAGGTAGATATCCTAAAGCGTGTAGGTTTGTTTTTTTTCTCCAGATCTTTGCTAGATATATTGATTATATTGATACTAGATTACTGATAGCATATATTTTGTTTCTGGGACATGCAGTTTCCATGTAATATACCGTTAAACTTCCAAACTTATTATGGATATATAATAGTGTCTGACTGTTTATGAGGGGAAAATTAATTTTCAGGGTTCGGAATGAAGGGATTGCGTTTAGCATTTGTCTTTATGTTATATACGTATTTTCACAGGCAACACAATCCCACTATTCCGAGCCCTAACAATTCTACTCCTACAGCTCTCTTTTTCACAATAATCGGTTCCCAATTGCGCAGATCGATGCTGATGGTGTTCATCACTGGATTGTCTGCTCCAGACTCGATTATTTACAGACCGCCGCCATAAAGCTGGAATATTGCTGAGTGCGGCGTAAAATTAAACTCACTCACTCACTGTTTTCACAATAAGGCTATCAATGTTGACCGAATTAGGTTAAATTACTCTAAGCAGACATATTTTACTCGTTTACACTTCAAAACCATATTAATTTTAGAAATGTACATTTGGAAATAAAACATTGGTTGCTGAGAATAGTTTCGCAAGAATATGTTTTAACAAATTATTCATATCATTTTTATATGCAGTAGAATTTTTCGTAGAGGTTTCGGTTTTTTTTTTATAAACTATCAATGTGCGATTGCTTTTGCAAAAAACATTACTGTTGAAAATAAACAAAATATAGTAAATATAGTGACGTTCTTGTTTGAAGTAGTTCTGGTCTTCATACGCCAAGCCTTCCAGAGCAGAACGAGTCGCTATTCAGATGTTCTGGAATATCATGAGTTGGTCATGAATGGTCGCGGAATAACACGAGCTGGTTACGAATGTTCCCGCTAACACGAATGGGTCACGAATGGCGTTACTCTCGAATCCATCGCTCCACTTTCGTGACCATTTTTGGGACTGGGTTGCATCTAAGCGCAAATGAGCTTAGTTGATAACTTCCGGGTTTGAATTGATCTTCAATAATCCATGCTTGTCGTAAGAGGCGAATAACGGGATCAGGTGGTCAGACTCGCTGACTTGGTTGATACATGTTATCGGTTACAGACCGCCGCCATATAGCTGGAATATTGCTGAGTGCGGCGTAAAATTAAAAACTCACTCATCCACTCACTCTAACATGGCTGCACATACATTTATACATATTGTAACTGC